GTACAGACACTGGAGTTGGTAATATTAACCGCACTAAGAATAGGGCTAAACGCCAATTAGATTTTGGAACGTCAAATCTCTTAAAAGTATGAAAAGATGAAATTTAAAGGTATAGTGGAGGATTTTTGCAAATTTTCTAAAAGATCTGCCCTCTTTAAAAAGCAATGCACATGCACAACCCTGTACCTGCTCCTGAGAGGGAATACTTATAAATGGGTGCAAGAGCATGCAGGAGCCCATTTCTCCTCGTGTACACTAGTAACTTAAAAGTTGGTGTTTGCATCGCTAATACAATCTTAATTTCCAAAAGAAGATTTGCAATTTTTCCACTATGTCAGACTCACCCCCGGTAAATAAAAATATGGGTGAGCACGTGGGACGGCCTCACGTAAACATTATCAGGAGGACCATTTATGATCCACCCAGAAAAGGAACATCCTCTGCTATACCTTTAAAATTAAAATAAAAAACAATACAGTGCAATTATAGAAAAAAAGAGATTATTTTTAGCACAGAAGAACCAAAATAAATATCCAAATGATATGTTAAAGAACCATTATTTGATGCATAAGAGCACTGAAATTTTAAAAGTGTCTGTTTTCAGTTAACTTGTCTTATTATCCGTTTATGTTAACGTGTCTTGCTGACCTCAGGTTTCAGTCCAATTAAGGCCTTTGTTTCCAGCCTTTCCTGACATTACTGTCTGGTTATTTGACAATATTTATTTTGTGTGTGTCATATTTTCAGCTCATTATTTAGCATATGTTCCCCAGGGGTTTTGTTTTATGCTTCGGTAGCAATTGGAGGACAAAACATAAACTAACTAAAAAAGGGCAGGGCATTTATTTAGAGCAGAGGGGGCTAAATGACCCAAAGGAGTGCTGAAAGAAGTAAATAATGATATTACTGAAATACAATAAAAAAAAATACATTGCAAAACTACTCCTAAAAGTAAATTTATGTTAAAGCTTTACTCTAGTAAATCTAACTAGTTTACCCATCTGTTATTAGAGTAAGATTTTTTTTGTTAGGAAAAGCAGCCACAAAATGTATCATGAAAAGACTTAAAGTTTGAGAAAATATATGTTTTACTCCCTATTTAGATTAGAGATGTAAAATATGCCTTAGTCTCTGTTTATGTTGAGCATACTGTGTTCACAGTTTACTCTGCTGCCCTCATGTGGCAATAAAATGCACTGCAAACACACATCTGCAGTTTGATACAGGGAAGCAGCTCAAAAAGTATACAGTAAATAAAGCAATGCAGGGGATAAGAAGATGGTTGGTGCTTTTATGGTCTGTTTTATTATTTGTTGGCAATGAGAAAATTATAATTAAATGTCCTAAAGTATTTGTATATATTGTTTTTGTATCTTGGGTCTTAAATTCACATGACATGGTTGTAATACTGAATTTAATATTACTTTCTACAAAATTTGCCTTAGTTGTATTTCTTTATTATCTAAAAAAATATAGTTCATTTTTTTGCACTACTGTAATGGTTAGGTTAACCCTAACCCTTTATATTTTAAAAATTGTACTAAAACTCTTTGCTTTTGAATTAAACATCACCAACCCTTTATTGCATGATTTCCATCTATCAACTGGTTAAACACAGTCACCTAGCATGAGCATGAGCATCTCTAACCTGTAGCCTCTTGGTGTATTTCCCTAACAGAGCGCTGCACTGAGCAGAGACTCTCTGATAGTATGACAGTCGCTTGAGCCTCCTCCTGCACAGAGCAGCTGGACCGTTCGATTTATCCGTCCTACAAGCAGCTACACTGTAGACGTTTTCTGTCTCCACCAGAAGCTGCATGATGCCTGGCTCACCTTCAAATAACCTCGCTGGGAAACACCTTTAGAGGAAGGAAAACCTGAGAATTATCACAGACTGAGGCATGAGGTCTCCCCTGCTGGTGCTTAAAGGTTTCTGGATTATACTTGTGCATAAATTATACTGTATTGTGTGTATTTGTTCATGCATATTGTATGTAAGGTATGACTGTTCCGTAATTTCTGCTGGTGATTAAATTTACACAGGTGCCAAGTGTTTTTTTTTGTTCTTGTTTTTTTATCTTCCACATGCAGCCACTATTCCTACCTTTGCTTTAGTACTCTGTAACTCAGGTTAACTGTATTTTTTTTATTTTAATCTTTATATCTTTTTTGTGACTGTTTTGAAGTACTGCACCTTGAATTTGTTTTGCAGACTGTTATTGCACTGCTTAGATACATGCTAATAAAGAAATCCCCCCCGTTGGATTAAACGACTGCTGTGCCATAACTGAGTACTCCCTTTAACTGCAAATGTTTTTATCTGTGATTAAAACCTGATTATATAACTAGGTTATTACATTTTTGTAATCCAAAAAAGATATATTACACTTCCTCAAACCCATCATTCAAAGTTTATATCCGGAAACATAATCTCCCTTAAATGATCCTGAAATTATCAACTTTTATTGTGTGTCTTTTGGAAAATCTCATTTCTTAGCAAAAGCATTGACATCGATTGTTTACTGACTTGTACTTACTTTGTAACTTACTGTTATTGAAATTTAGCTTAAGTAATACTTTTTATGTTGTTTTATTATTCAAATTATTCTTTTTGCACATCTTAATTTATCTGATAAGCCAATGCTGTATTTGAATACTTCTATGGTATATTTGTTCAAATTTTTTTCCCTTTACATTTTCCTAATCCTAATCCTAATTTGAAAAATGATTGGAAGCTATCTATGAAGTAATGTTTCTTTTTAAGTTAAGCAGTTTTAAAACCTATGCTGTCTAATTGTTTGAAACACATTTGCTACATCCTAAACAGACATATATAGAACTAGGATGTTTTTTATATCAGAAAAGACAGATTAACTTTAATGTTGGAGTCTTTTCCTTAGAATAAATTCAGCTTTTATTTCAGTGGCATACACTGAAATAAATACATTTATCCTGAGCAATACAAATAAAAGAATGAGAAAAAGAAAATTCATCAGGGGTCAAAGTTATTAGCATTCATCAGTAGTATTGGGTACTCAAGCACTTGTTCTGTAACATTTGTTAAAATTAAAGCACACAGAACAGATTTATTCCTACAACCTCTTCAAATAATCCAACCTAGAAAACTGAAATGGTCTTTAAAAAAAAAATAGATAAACACTCAGACAGAGCAGACCTCCAATAAGCAGCAAATTTTGCCCCATATTTTGACTTGAAAAAATGTTTCCTAACCTTTTTTTACTTGTGTACCCCTATGGGTATTTTGTTATAACATGAGTACTCCTCTCAGTCAAAAGTATTGATTGTCCTAAAGTGTAACATACAATAACTAATTATTAATAAAAAAAAAAAATGTAATAAAATAAATCCACTGGAAATAAAAAATATTTTTACTCAATATTTTAATTTGAGCACTTAATTCTTTAGTATTTTATGCTTTATATCTCAAATAAAAAATTAACACCATAATGTTGCCTGCAACTTATTATGGATTTAAAATAAATACAAAATAAAACATTATAAACCTGTATTTATTAAACTGGAGCTCCTCAGAGTAACTCTCTTGTAATCACATTTAAACTTGATGAATTGGGAACAAATTACAAAACAAAAATTATCATCAGACTGACTTCGTTATTTTTACTTTGTTTTCATTAAGACACCTGAGCTGTTTTGATCAGGTGTGGGAAAACAGCTGATCGCAGGCTGTTCTGTACATCCTGTCTCTGATCGCAGGCTGTTCTGTACATCCTGTCTGTTCCTCTGCTTGTCACAGCTGAAGGTGAACGCAAACATATGATAAAAACGTACTTTTTGGTAAAAAAAAAAAAAAAAAAAAGCTTGTTTTAGCCCTATTTTATTTTACTTTCCCAAGAAATAAAATATTCATGTACCCCCTGCAATGTACTTACTGACCACTAGGGGTCAGCGTATCCCCGGTTGGGAGTCACTGATTTACACCCAAAGCAAAAACTCATAGATGAGATGATCTGGATAATAAGCAAATTTTAAATTCTAGTATTTCAAACATTAACAACCTTTGCAGAAGTATCAATTAACTTTAAAATGACGTACTTTTATCATATAGGCCTACTCCATTTTAAAAAAAATTCTCACCTGACACCTTCCTGCATCAATACATTTTCCTTGAAATTGAATAATATTTCAATATTATTTTATTTCTAAATCAGAGAAGAAATGTCAAAAGTTGTGTGAATACTGAGATTATCTAAAACCTGGATTAGCACACTGTTCTGTTGATAAGCAGCACAAGGTGGATACAAACATTCCCACACCAAGGGAAGCTGGTTGTTCTGTCCTGACACAGATAAAGAAGGAATTAAGGATTTAGAGCCAAGAAGAGGAATAATAGCAGTGCTTTTCTCGTCTGCAGCATTTTTAACGGATTGAAGCACACTTGAATAAGAAATGAACCCTACTTCAAGTTAGCTCAGGCAGGCATGTATTGTGTCTTCAATCTAAAGCTTGATTGGGGTCCATATTCTCTATAAGACATGTAAACATCAACATAAAAAAGCTCCAACAGTTGACAAAAATGTTGCATCCTGAGAAGGAACTTTACAATCAATGGCCTTTGAAGCAGAAAACTGCTTCTCCTTTTTTTACCCACCCTCAAGAGACATGAGTAGGATGTTAGCAATAATGTGAGGAATGCATTCTTTTATGGTGGAAACTCACAGCAGCACTGCAGACTTTCCTTTCTGGACTCCTTCAACCTGATCTAAAACCTGGATTATTAACACCACAAAGAAAGACACGATAACAAGATTTAAAAAAAGAAAAACGAAACCCAACAGTTTTTATATATATATATATATATATATATATATATATA